CTCTATAACTTTGCAAAGAAAGATCGTGTAGAGCTGGGAGATGCCTCGTTTTAATCAGAAATTTATGGACTACAATTACGCCTCATTAAGAAAGCTTTTGGTTATTGTTTAGAGTTTCTCGAAAACTGATTTTCCAGAAGACCGATCTTTGAAGGCCTAGCAGTAGCATTCATGGTGACATTCGGAATCAGCATCGTCGACTACCTATAGTCCACTCGGTTTCGTTGAAAAAGCGATTTATCAGTTGGGGTACTTCCCCTGTTAGCAGTTTAATAAAATAGTTTCTGTTATCTTAATTCTTGGTTTATAAGTTTGAATATTTTAAACCCAAATTGTGGCTGAAGTCATAAAAAAAGGCTTTCTTGTATAGCTTCACGCGAGCCGTCGAATGACATTGAAATTAAAGTTTCAAAATTTTTAATTCATTAAAAACTTTTATTTTAGCTTTTTTCAAATTCGAATACGTGAATAGCTGTTGAATAGCTCGTGAAGCTGTACGTGAAAGATGTTTTAACGAATATAAATAAAAAGAGAACACTTGCAACAATAATGTGTGACCTGGTGGGTTATGAAGACATTTACTCGTGGAGCAAGTGATCTCAGATTCAATCTCTGTGCATGTAGTTTATTTCTTTCAATTTCTTTTACCTAGGAAGCTTTTATTTTCATTTATTACTCATTTGTAGAGCTCTTTAGTATTAATAAGTGTCATAACAAGCGAAAGCCAGGAGCGTCTCTCTTATAACTGAATGGGTTCGCACGTTTTTTAAATTAGAGTTGGTTTTGATTTTTCTCACACAACAGGAGAAGATTTATAAAAAAGCTTATAAATGAAATTTTAAAGATTATAGTTTAACGTAGATTCGTTGGCCACTGGAGATGTTATACACAGCACCACCTGCGAGATCGCCATATGTGAGGGAGAAATGTGTGAACAGACTCGAATTCGAACCCAGAACTTTGACATTCCGTGTCTGTGCTCTAACTACTGAGATACCTGATCGACACACTAGGAGGAAGTGTCATGACATCCAGACTACTAAAATCCTTTTTTTAACCCATCCAAAAACTATTCATCCATAGTCCAACATGTCCGGATGAATCATTTGCCGGCCATATTGGAATCTGAATGACTTACTTCCGGATGAATTTTCCTCGATCAACTCCGATAGCTTCTTCAAAAGCTCTCAAGTCTGGGAAAAAAATTCTAGATGAGTTTGTCACTTATAATAAAAAGCAATGCAAATCCGCATGTCATAGAGTATAATACTAAGATTAATAGTTTCATTATTAAAGTACATTTGGAGTTGGTTTTATTCAAAAGGCATGTGTGCACACACTAGAGTATCATTCTATGATGTCGGTTGACTCGTATGATTACTTAAAATTGGAATTTAGTGCAACTTTGTTTGCATTACAATAAAATTTAACGGTGTTGTGTTTTTAATTGTGTTTAGTGTTATTACTAAATATTATTAGAAATATGAGTCATTTTTCGTGTTGTAGACCTACTCCATTAGGTCATACTGGACTTACGTGATGTACGATCTAAGTCGAATATACAACTGACTAACAAATGGACTTACATTGCTTTTTATTGCAAGTGAAAAACTCATATAGAATATCTTTTACCGGAGTTGGTCAAGGGAAATTCATCCGGAAATTTTACGGACTTTTGAATCCGGATGGAGTTGCACGGGCGAGCAGAATTCCCCGATCAAAATTCATCCCGGACTTAAAAACATTCGGATTTTAAAAATCTAGATTTCATGACACTTCCCGCACACTAACGACATTTCTTAACTTCTCTCTTCTATTCTGCATTAACGAGACAAAAAATAGCAGTCCATATTTTTTTTAGATATGAGGAGCCCCTTATTTATAGCTGGAAGCAGGCAACCCTTTTGTACGATCCTAGACTAAAAGTTAAGGGAAAAACTAAATTAAAACCTAATAGTATTTATTATACTTTGGCTAAAGCCACAAAAAGCTTTGAAAAAAAGTCTATCGACAAAGATGCGAGTACAAATGCATGTTTTAGAGTATGAACGTGTAATTTTTAGAACCTGTTATTCGAAATCTGTCGCTGAGGACTTGAGGATACAACTGTTTCGTTAGCAAAAACAATAATTTTATCATTATCTGTAAATACTATTTGTTCTTGTTTATTTGGATTTATAACGATGCCATAGAGTTTTGTTTGATCACGTACATATTTCATTAATCTGTAACCAATAGCCACACATCGAAATTTTATTGTTGATTGTATAACTTCATAATAGCTCACTGGTGTGTGTAGTGGAACAAATATGGATGCTAGACATAAAAGAATTTCAGGACCCTCAGATGTAAACAAAGCATCGTATACTTTTTTTATATTTTTATTTTCAGATAATTGTGTAATATATTTTGATACTAAACTTGGAGCAATTATATAGTCGTCTGCGTGTGCCATATCAGCCAAATCACGATTACGTATGTTATACATTTCTGTTACAGTATTAAATGTTTTTTGCCCGTTTGATTTATCAATTATGTCTTGTATATATAATAAACAAATGAGACATTCAGCATCTGCTTCTTCGGTTAGATCTTTTTCTCGACCGTCTTCACTGGGTACTACAATAACATAATCAAAGGTTGATAAATTTAGTCTTTCCAAATCACACCGACGTGTCATATGGCCTGAATGAAAATATAACTTTTGATGCTTTAATTCATTGACTAAGTGGCTAGATACGAATTCTTTTGCTTCAGTAGAATTTGTTAATATATGAAGTTCACTACCATGCGAAACATAACCATCCAATTCTTTAGCTAATAATGGGGTTTTATTATTCCAGCCGCATATAACGTTTCTTTCTACTTTTGCTGCTGTAGTTTTTGACAATTGAATTGCACTAAGATTTATTAAATACGACGATATTGGAGAAGAATATTTAGCTATGCATGCTAAATAATTAGCTGGTAATATAATTTTATCATCATCTTCAGCTATAACTATTATTTGATCATCTATATTGATTACTGTATCCAGTGGTGGAAGCATTTTAACTGTTCCATCGGACAGCATCAGTCCAATTACCGAACATTTCTCGTATGCAAATAGAGCATCATGAAATGTTCTACCAATAAGTGCTCTTTCATGTTTAAAATAAATTTCATCGTATCGAAAAGATAATAGACTTTGTAATATAACAGCCACACCACTTTGTCGACCTGATTGAGCCATAATGCGTGCAATGATTTCATCAGCATGGACAAACGTAACTTCGTCTCCACCTAAAAAATAGTGTAGTTTTTACCACGAAGGAAACATCGCCGCGAACAAAACTAGATGCGTCCATTTTCAATATGAACCCAAACGTCGGGAGGAGAGCGAACTCAGTGGTGTACAAACTCTCACTTGTCACTCAAAAATAAAACACTTTTTATTTAGAAGCGTCATGGGTCCAAGTTTTGAAATTAGATAATTTTAGGGAATTTTTAATTTATCTTGAACTAGGCATGCAACAGTTACAGTTAACCGCAAAACTGTCACAACTGAATTAATTCAGAATACAACTATTATTGTTGTAGGAATAAAGTTTGAGAATGACCGTTTAGGGTCGAAATATCACAAGAAAACTGCTTAAATCATTTAAATTAGCTGCAATTACTGTACAATATTTTCGCCAGTTTTACACTTCTTCTAGGCTCTCGTTCTAACAACTATGCAGTTAAAGTTATCGATAGTTTTACAACTAGTTAACTGGCAAAAAATTGTAAGTGGTAGAGACCTACCTTGAACCTTTTCTTACCACTTAAATAGGCCCTATGAAATCGCTTATTCTATCCCTAAAGCGCGCTTTTATGGCGGAACTTCCAAGTAGATTATTAATCTGGGTACAAGAGCTTTTTGATTCATAAAAGAAGTAAGATTCTATCACTTGTTGTATCCCAGAGATAAAAAATATGTTGCCTGCCCCTAGCTAAGTTAAATTTATCCACTTTTGCATCCATAGACAAAATGTGTGCTGTTTGTTCTCTTTGTCTGGCTTTTTATGTAAAACTTTTAAGGACGATAATAGCTTTGATCCCGTAAAAAGCATCCATCAAAATAGCAGAAATGACTCGGGGTTTAGAAGAAAAGTTTTTTCAATAGAATTAATCTCAAAAAACTTTATTTTTTCTGTCTACAACAGAACTGATCCCGACTGACGTATGTAGTGGCCACATAAGATTCCCTCCCATAAAGTTTTTCACTGATTTTTACACACATTTTTAACACTTATGCTTTATTACAATTAAATGCAGTCTCTGATACTTCAATCTTTGTTTAGTCTTTCTATAAAGCTAATTAAACTTTCTTCGGTCGGCCTCGTCTTTTACGTTTCACCATTAGTTGCGGTATCGCTCGAATATCACACAGTATTATTAAACCAATGGCATGAAAACCAGCGGCATAAACACAAAAAAGATGTGACCACTACACATTTCTATTCTTTATATCTCAATGCCAAGCAAGCTTCTTTACAATAGCGCCTCACATCAACCGGGATCAATTCTGTCGAAAATATGTTTTTTCTAAACTCAAGATCATGTCTTGTGTTTATTTCACTGCTATTGAGAAGCAAGATAAGCAAACAAAAGGGACATAGAAATATGTGAAGAGCCGCAAACCTGCAATCAATGCCACATCTAAATTACTCCGTTCGCTTATTTCAGCAACAATATGAAAATTAACTTTAGTTCGTTGTGGATTATTTCTTATTGCTAATATTGATTTTATTACTCGAACGTCAGGATTTATCGTTTGAGGTGCCAACATAATAATGGATCGTGCTTTATTCGGACTCAATTTATTTATATGATTGATCTAAAATTCAATTCAATAGGAAAAGTTTAACTAATGAATAAACGTGAACAGATTATGATTTATCTTCGCCATTTTCATTTTATGGTTTCAAAACCTCTCATAAAAAATTGTCTTATTTTACAAAAATTAATCAATGCGGAGTTCTAACTCGCCAAAATAGTCATTCTAGTTAGAGTGCAGATACACATCAACTAACTGATCGTTCAATTTTAAACAGTCTGTCTCAGTAGCTTAGTAGCAGAGCTTGTGGCCTGTAACCACACTATCCTGGATTCGATTCATGGGTGACGAATACTTTTTCAGTTGTGTACTTAAAATAGTGTTGCTAGCGCATCGTCGATTTCTTTTACTCGTCTATTACCTGCGACTGATCGAGTACCCATTTATCTACTATCTTTGCAACCATTTAGCTTATCACATTGAATTGTGCGCAGTGTAAAGGTCGAAGATTCACTTGGACTTTTAACACTCCCTTAGACTATTAGTCTTTTTTTAGACTTTTCATTTTATATATGAGTTCGACTTTTAGACAAGATCGGGTCTCGAGAAAACCCACGCATAAGTAGTCTGGAACTTTATACGGCGCAGCATATCTGAAACCTATAAAAAAAGTGTTTGTAGAGTTTCGGATTGCTTCCATAGGAAATATCAAAAGTCTTAGCCAAAACTGTTAAGCTGTACTTCGACTTTAGCGTTTCGTTAGATCCAGCACGTTTTTCCTCAGAAAAACCCATTAATCGCACATCATTGGATACAGTTTCTTACGGTAACTCATGTCATTTATATTGAATGAAAGCATTTCTGGATCGAGATAAATGGAAAATACCTGGAAAAGCTAGGGTTTTTGGAAAAGCTAGGGTTTTTAGAAAACCCATATCTAAGTCCGGGAACGTTTATGCTAACTGTGCTGATAGAGTACATCTAGAAGACCATTCTGTAAAATTTTGGACAAATCTGAAGTTTGGCGGTGGAGGACGCACAAATTTTACTGAAACTAGCAGTTTGAAAAACCACTCAGGAAAAACTTTTATGTTTTTGCTCAGCAATCTCCCATTCAAATCCAAAAGTTTTTTTACTAATGTATACTAAATGATGTGGAGATTCATAATTGGCAACTCATTTGGTTACTGGAGTCTTCGTTTTGGCGTAAAATTAATTTTCCTACGAATGACGCTATTTTCAAATCAGTTTTTAAGTAACGGGTTTTCCACTCCGCTTGAACTTTATAACAAAATTTTTTATGCCATCGGATAGAGCATGTCTTGAACTGTATTGTTCACTATGTGAGTCGTTTAGAAGTCGGTTTAGATTTTTTCACCTAACGTCCGCCTGGATGCACACTGTGCCCCCCTCCCCCAACAGCAATCAGCTCTCATGTAGGGTAAACTTCCGAACTAATTACAGATGAGTGTAAAAGTGCAATAGTCTGAAAGTCGAACTCATAGATGAAATCCAAAGTCTAACAAAAGTCGAATATAGCTTTCTGAATTCTCTCGTTTGTTAGGCTTTTCAGATTTCTGAGAAGTCTGAGTGAATCTTCGAACTGTACAGATATGTGAATTGTCGACTCATTGATAGAGATCTGCGTATATGTAGACACCAGTTCTGCGCGAAAAAACCCACAGAAAATTCCACATTACAACCCGCTGACTTTCAAACTATCAGCGCTACTTTGAAAAAATATTTACGGATTCAGAATCTTTTTCCAACTTCGAGTAATGAATTACCACTTTTCTGCTTATGTAATGGTTCTAAGGGATTCACAAATGTGTTCTACACATACTGTATATACAGATGATGCGTCGTTACTATTGTATCTCGCTACGGAGTAATCAATAACTCCCGATTCTTCGAGTGAAAATTCAGTTTATTCAGTAAAAACTATTTATATTTTTCTAATATTAGTTTTGTTTTGTTTTTAAGTAAATTTCAGTTGAGAGAGAAAAATGCAGCTATTAGCAAGTTCAAGAAAAGCATTTGCTTTTTACATACCAGCATCGGATCCCCATTTCGACAAATAATTCTTGTATTTTTGTAATTGATTACTTTATCTTTAATTATATCTTGCATTTCCTCACGCTCTTTGTCGGCTAAAATAACAATTGATGGATTTCGTTGACTTTCATTGGCAATAATTAATTCTTTAATAATATCAAATATTGATGGTGACCATCCTAGAATAACTAAAAGAAAGAAAGTAGCAAACTTAACCTTTTATTTCATGATCAATTATGTATACTTGTATGATTATGTTCAACAACTGTTGATCGTCCTCTTCTTAATTCGTCTACTTTGGCGTCCATAAAAGTGACTATTGCACCAATTAATATTGCAATAATAACAAGCCCAATAAGTATCATAATTCCAGATATAACTCGATGTTTTAAACCTTCATCTTCTGCAGCGGCACATGGATCAAGTACGCGAGTAAATGTTGCCCACAATGCGTCTTCATAGGTCTTTGTTAAATTAGAAAAATAATAAATAATACTAAATAGTAATATTACAAATGTGGCTATACCCATTATAAAAGGAATAATAAAAACTAGACCAAGAGAAAATAGATTGTCGAATTTATATTTTAAATAGGAACGAATATATCCAAATCTTCTGTTCCTGCCATCTAAGCAGATTGGACAACATTTGTGTGTTTTCATTGATTTATTTTGAATTACTTAATATCTAAACAAAAAATTTATGAAACATATAAAAAGATATAGTAGCTGCTATTATGCCGTTTCATATCAAACAAGTAACGTTCATCATTGTGATTTACTTATCCTTTAACTGGAAAGGAATCGACAATATCAAATTATTTCTATAGAATAAAATAATTATCTTTCTTGTTCACATTACATTCTGAAGAGCATTCTCAACAAGCAGCAGCAAGCAAGTACTACGACAATTCTGACGACCATCGTTGTTCTTTCAAGGCAAGAGGTAAATGAGGCACATTCCCCATTCTTAAATTTTATTTCTAATCATTCTCGTATTATGCCTTGATGTGTCCTAACTCCGTTAGATTTTAGAATTCGATATCAAAAGCGAAAGCATCATCAACTGATTAACCTCTTAAATTTTCGTGACTTAAACGCGACTCTAGATTTTGTGCGAGCCTCCAGTTTCCTACTTCTTTACCTGTGGTGATCTTGGCCATGAATGAGACCATAAACTATAGACTATGCTGAAGAAGAATACTTTCGTGCGAGTATCGTTACCAATGTGAAGTGCTCCCGTGCCTGATAATAATAATAAGTTTCATTACTTATCACTAGGTAAAGAAAATAAAAGTGAATCCTATCCGTGAAAAAACATAAAACAAAAAGACGCGTTGAAACGCTTTTTGTTTTAAGCGAACATGTTTTCGCTCGACTGTTTTTATAACGCGTTCAGACGCGTTTTTTTGAGCACCACTTTGAACTATAGCTCAAAGTGGAATTTTTCTTTGGCCTAGGCCAATATTACATTGGACTGAACTTCACTTTGGACGATATATATACCTATGCATAGATATGCATACAAACGACTATACAACTTAGTAGAGTGACAAAGAGGAGAAAGAAAACAACTTGTGCTTTCATGACTTCAGTTTGATTCGCACGTGGACACCTAGAATTAAGAAGCAAACACATAACTATCTGAGCTAACAGACGATCGAAACATATACAGTAACAATGCCATGTGTGTCGATCATGTCAGTCAGACAAAACACATAGTGTTTGCTTCTTTATTCTATGATTTCTAAGTTTCATTTACAAAGTGAATAAATCTTTTCACTCAAAATAAAGTATTTCTGCAGACAATTATCTCCTTTCTCATACTTAACTATGTGTTTGAGAGAAATGAAATAATCTGTCTGTTAGGTAGATATTCGTTATAGTAAGCTATAGTTTATCTACTTTTTATTATGACAAAGCAAGCATGAATTAACATGGACAGTGAATTTTGTGTAGATAATATTACTATGAGGCAAATACTATACTGTGTCCGAATGACAGCTCATTCTCACTTCGAAGGAAAACACGTATTTTCTGATAAAAAACGCATTTTGCCCCAAACGCGTTGAAATGCGTTTTTCATGACCAACAACGCGTTGTGAACAAGCCGACGCGTTTAAAGGCACAAACAGCGTTTTTTAAATATAAAGTTTGCGGCTCGACGCATTTTTTCGCCGAAAATGTTTTCGTGGGTAGTTTTACCATATCTTTATAAGCTTTTTTGAATAACAGGTAGATAATTTGCTTTCGTATTTTTTATTAAAGCAAATTGAAAATATTTAAAAATATTGGACAAAACCAAACGTTTCGACCTCTTATAGGTTAAGGTCTTCTTCAATGATAAAATACGTATAAAAAATATAGTTAAAATTCTGTTACATCTAACGTGTGCAGATTTAAAATTATAATGTGACTGCTTAGACCTATTTCTTTATTGTCACTCGCCTATCTTTATTTTCTTTTTC